AACGTGCTGAGACAGAAAAAAGGAAGCTTCAGATTGTTTCATTTGAAGTATTAACTGTCATTGGATAAGGAAAGGAACATTTCTTACCCTGTTTATGTGTGTGCCCAGAAATACAGGGTACAGTGTTTTGAGAAAATAGGTACCCATTTGAACACATTCTAAAAAGCATACTCATAATCTCGAAAAGAAACTCATGAGTTGATGCTGCATGGATATTTTCATGATTTATACATTTACAGCAGTGTATACACCATAATATCCTTCCTTTTTCTTCTAAAATCTGACTCACTTTAGGAAACAGACATACTAAATGGATAGAAAAAACTTGACAACTGTGAGGAATACAGTATGTCACTTTGGGCTTCTCTTAGCAGACTGGCACCAGCTGTGCTGATTGTCTCTCTAGATATGCAAAGGGCTCTTCCCAGAAAACTTGGACAGGATGCCTGCACTGTCATTGCTCAATTCCTCTGCCTTTGAGGAGGTCTTGGAAAAGGAAGGAAGTGATTTCTGTGTTTAGCAGACTCAGCTGAAAAAAGCCTACACATATTTGCTCTGCTTCAAAATATAATAAGAGTTTTTAACGTTGTCCTATGGTTCATCTTGGATCACATTGTAAAAAGTATTTTTCACATTATGCAGCTTTGGAGAACATAAAGAACAACTGTTTTGTGTTTGTAGAATATCAGTGTGAGTTCCGTGTAACACTTATAGTCAAGCCTTGGGTTTAGTTTATTTGAAGTTGTTAGGGAATATAAACCTGGAAGCATACCTAGTCTGTATTTCCTTCTGAGAAACGGCTAAGGAACCTTCAGAGGAATCACAAGAGAAATACAAAATCAAACCAAATATCTATCTAATTCACCCAAAGTGGCCACCAAGTTTCCCTCGGAAGCCCACAGGAGCACAAAGATAATAGACTTCCTGGTCGACTATCCTGGTGATTAGAATTTGGAGAGGTCTGGCTCCATTGAGTTTGTAGAGCTATCATACTTTTAGAAGTCTTCTCCATAAATATATAGGATTATAGTTATCATCTCATTAAGTCAACATCAATTCATATAGTATTAGTGCATTGTGGGAAGTATTTAATATTTTTCAGCCCTGAATTTCCTGCTAATATTTTTTGTTGGTCATGTTAACATGATCATTTTCATATTGTGTGCCTTCACATCATTTCTGAGTCAAGGATCCCTTCTACACTGCCATATAATCCAGATTATCAAAGCAGACAACCCACAATATCTGCTTTGAACTGGATTATATGAGTCTATTGCCATATAATCCAGTTCAAAACAGATAATCTGGATTTTATATGGCAGTGTAGAAGGGGCCACGGTGAACAGAAAGTGAATCGGTTATAGGGTTTTCTTGGTAGAATTTGTTCACCCATGTGTTCCTCTGAGTCTGATAGAGTATGACTTGCCCAAGATCTCCCAGTGGGCATCTGTGGTTACTTTGGGATTCAAACCCTGGTCTCCTAATGCTATAGTCCAAGTCTCAAACTGATACATCCCACTGGGTCTCACATAATTGTACCTTGGGTTACAAAGTGGAAATATGCCTGAATAGAGAGTCCTTTCACTATACCTGTATTTTCAAGCTCTAATGCCCCTAACCATAGTTCTTCCTTTTGTCCAAACCTTGAAACTGATTTGTGAACTTGATTTATGACTTGTTATGAAGCCTCCTTCTCTGCCTCTCAGATCTCGCACATGCACCACTTCACTGCAGTCTTTAGGAGCGAGATCTGAGAGGCAAAGGAGGAGGTACGGTAATAGGATACAAGAGCGGGCCAGACAGGTAAAAGAGTTGTGTTTTTCTGGACCCAGAGCCACTGTATTGCTTCTTTCCATACCCTGGGCGCCCTGGACACCTGCAGCTTGCTCCGCCCTTCACTTACACCTTCCCAGTGAAGCGCCCCTTCACCTCACCATCGGGACCGCATTAAGTCCACGAATCTTGATGAATTGATTTTCTTCTACCATACTTGTACAGCGTCGCCCTAATGCTTTCATACAGTCGCTGCATACGGTAGGGACACGGCCACTGCCATTTTTAAGCTTCCCCCATCATATGGAGAAACCACAGATTCTCCAATCCGGATTGGAAGTTTCAGCACCCGCTCTATAAGATGACTCCCACCGTATAAGACTACTCCCACGCATAAGACGACCCCTTACTTTTGAAAAGATTTTCTTAGGTTAAAAAGTAGTCTTATATGCCAGAATATATGGTAAATCTCTGTTGGCAGCACTCTTTTAGCCCCTAAACTAAAATGTTTAGAAAAATCTATACCACTTCATCAAATGTCTTTTTTGTCTTTTTAAACAAAGTACTTTTGGTTCTTTTTCTTCGCCTTTGCAACTCTGTAACACTTTTTAAAAATGGTCTCATCAGAAGTGTTCAGGCAGCCCCAAGTTACGAACAAGATATTTGACATTCTGCAGATTGTATCTTTGTATAATGATAAATAAGTCCACTAACAATACACTGATGTTATTATAAAATCTTGTTTTCGCTCCCTTCCCTTAGCATCCTGAACATTGTATCAGCATTTGGTCTTGCCATCTATACTTGACAGCATACTAATGATCATAAAAAAGGAAAGGTTGCTAATAGGGAATTCTGCTATTACTAAAGATTCCTGAGAATGAACCTATTTCTCTTAAGTCTTATGTCCTTACTAAGAAGTGCTTACAAATCAAAATTACAATTCATGCACAAAGCTTGTTGGAAAAGGCTAATTCTAGGAACTTAAATGTTAGAGGAGATATTTTACATTTGTGGTTTTAGTTGTTACTTATCAGAAGTTGAATGCTTTGTCAACTTCCACTTTCATTTTGGAGGAGGAATCATATCCCACAGTGTCTGAAATAGCAGTCATGGTTAGTGTTAATTAAAGTAGGGATTTAAAACATGGTCTTCCAGATACTGTTGAGCTGCAGCTCCTATCATCTGTCACCATTTAGTAGGGCTGATGGAAGTGGCAATCCAATAACATTTTTGGAGAGCTCCCATGTTGCTTGCCAGTAAACATCTAGACATTTGTTCCAATCCTCAGATGATAGTAGAACTTACTGCAATTTGATCCAAGCCCTGTTATTCTGTACAGCTGGCCCCTCTACATTTGTAGATTTAACTTTTGTGATTTGATTATTTGAGATTTGACTAATACATTACCAGAAATTGTCTATAAAGCTGCCATAGAGAAATTAATGAGTTGTTTAGGTGAGAAACATTTTTTATTCATTGGTTTTCTACTTTTGTGGGGATATTACTTCCCTAGCCCCTGAAAAAGTGGACATACGGTGTGAATTTGGTCCTCGAACCTTTCAGTTACTCCGTCAAGAGATTGGAACAAACTCCAAATAGAAACTAGAATAAAATCTAAACACGTTAGTTTTTAAAAACACAAATATTTCCATTGTTAGCCAGGGAGATCAACTCATACCTCCTGTCCCTTTGCCTTGAAGGTGTATTGCAAAAAACTGAATGGTGGCTGGAGGTGTAAATGCACATTATCCGCTTGTGTTCTACAGCAGCATGCTCATGTATTCTTTTGGCTGATCCAAGTGTCTTAGGTTGGAAAATTCCCTTGTCTATTTATTGGTAAAATGGCAGTTAGATTTGCTTCCAGGATTATCTCCATTATGAAATAAACATCCCTGAATTACAGTACTATAATCATTTTTTTTTTGAATCCACAAACAGATTTAAGCAGCAAAGCATAGAGACAGAAGAGTGGCTTCATTTATTATTATTTCTGTTATAGAGATCAGTCTATTAGAACAGCTTGTGTATTGGAAAACAGTTAACACTGAGGCTTTTAATGAGAAGATAGGAGGCAAAAGACAATCATGGTGGTTTTTTAAAGGTGTTTCATCACTTGAATACTTAAGGATTTGAAATCTTTATCCCCGTGTATATCATGAAATGTATTAGATGTTAATCGGTGAAAGCAGTCTTGTAATGCATATGCCTTCAAGTCACCTATTGACCCCATCAATTTCATAGAGTATTTTTAGGCAAAGGATATTCAGATCTGGTTTTGCTAGTTCCTTTCTCTGAATATAGCTCACAGCAGGTGATATTTGTTGACAGTCCCCCATCCAAGTTACCTGACACTGCTTAGCTTCCAAGATCAGACAGGAACTGGTGCCTTTAGGAAGCAAAGGAGAAAAGAAAACCCCTTCACAGTTGCAGTATAGGCCACCTGCCACTACTGAATTCTTTATTTTAAAAATGGCAAAACAAATTATGTGCTGGTGAAGAATATCTGCGGGAGGAGAAGGAACACAGCTGTTTGTAAGACACATTGCACTGTGGAATTCCAATAAACAGTTGTATGTAGGTCTTTATCATTGATGGCCTGGCCTGAGCACAAGATGAAACTGATTTAGACACTGTGTGAAGTAGGGTCAGAAAGTTGTTCCTCTAGGCTTGTTGTTGGTGCCGCATGATGTGATGGGCATTCCAGGCCAAACAGTGTTTACTCCACCTCAAGGAATGTGAGCAGGAAAGACGTCTGCAGGAGTTGCTGACTCATTGGTCACAGAGCTTCACAGCGCACCAGGGTGCTTGTCCCCAGGCTTACCGGGGTGTGTTTGAGATCTTCTGTCGCAGATAGCTAAATAGGTCTGGCTTGGTAAAGTCCAGGGGATATTTTGAATTTAATTGTCTCACAGCTTGGGTATCAGGCTACATTGTTGGATTAAATATTTTACTGTACTTCCTTGTTTGCGTAATCTTATATTATACAAATGTGATGTTCTTGTTGTGAGTCTCTTAACAGTGAGGTTACATTCTTTCCATTTCACAAAAGGAATAATCAAGATCACGATTGAACTTTATTTCCTTTTTACTTATGATTTGCTGAAGTTGCATTGATGCTCAGTACTGTTGAATTACAAATATATCTGCACTGAGTTTACATCAAAACTTATGCAGCGTCTTTCTCTTGCCTAGCATACAAACCAATCTTTCTTCTTTTATCACAGAAGGAGCTACTAACTTGGAGAAAGCTGTCATCTTGTTCCAAGCCAAAAACCCCTGTGCTCAGAAGGTCTGGTTAGTGATTGGTAGGTTTTTGCATCGGCTGGGGCACAGGCTGCTCTTGGAATCCAGGCCATGACCAGCAGAGGAGCTGCGAGGCCAAATGGTCAGTCACAGGCCAGCAAGATTTGTCAGTTCAAGCTAGTACTACTGGGTGAATCAGCAGTAGGAAAATCCAGCCTGGTGCTGCGTTTTGTCAAGGGACAGTTCCATGAATACCAGGAGAGCACCATTGGTGGTAAGTTTTGGAGCTTCTGTATTACATGGGGAAAAAATCCATAGCCTAAACATCAAGGAAGCATACCTGATCCCAGTATTTAGAGTAAATACATCTACATGCATTTACAATTACAATTACTCAATAGCTTTACTATAAAGAAAGGATAGGCAGGTGTGCCAGCCTAGGGAGGTACGTAAACTTTCTAGAAGTGGGAGACCTACATCTCCATAGCAACTTCCCAAATATTGGTCTCTCACACTCTTGGGGGGATATGGGGGACATTCTCAATATGCTTTTAAGTCTCTGGTCCATTTTAGATCAAAAGGAAACCTTTCTAAAATAAAGCCTAAACAAAACAGGAAATGAATAGAAATCATTTCTAGTTTACTTCTTGCTTGAAGTAAACAAGAAGTTTACTTCAAAATGCCCAAGGGGGATTTAGGAGCAGATTTTAAGTTACTGCCCTTAAATATGTGTTCAGACAGCCCCTGAGTTACAAACATCTGACTTACAAACAACTCACAGTTAAGAACAGGGGTGAGACAACAGGAAGTGAGTGAAATCCACCCCGAGGAAGGGAAATTCATTCCTGAAAGAGTTATCATGCGGTAAAGATGTATCTGCTGAAGCTTTCTCACTAATCCTGGTTTTTATAACAAGCCATTTTTTTTCAAAATCCAATTATTACAGGAAGAGAAAATGAGGTGAATCTTCTGAACAGGCACAGACAGAACAGACCTCAGGGATGCTATGCAAGCTAGAAAATGTATATTTTTGGCTGAAGTTATACTTTAAAAAGTACCTGTTCTGACTTACATACAAATTCAATTTAAGAACATACCTACAGAACCTATCTTGTTCATAACTTGTGAACTGCCTGTATATTGTAAAAATATAGCAACAGCACATACGGGTTTTGTGGGTTCTTCATCCACAGATCCAATCAACCACTGCTTTAAAAAAATCAGGACTCCCCCCCCCCCCCCCCCAAAAAAAAAAAAAGCCTTGGTTTTGCCATGCGGTGAACACTATACAGATATGTAAGCATATCCTGCTGTGGTCTCCCATCGTTTCATTTTCTGGCTCATTGAGTTGTTTACTATTTGATGAGCATCCATGGATATGGCTATCTATGGAGAAGTCCTGGATCCAAACCCTAGCAGATACCAAAGAACTACTGCATTGTGGCTTGCTAATTGTCCTGATAAACATGCTACAGAAGTGTATTTTGTATTTCATATTACTTTGAAAACACCTCACTAGTATTTGCTTAAAATATATTGTTCATTTCGTAGGAACTTACAATGAGTGGACAACACAAAATCTCTTATTACATCACTACTCTCTTGTGGGGGAGATGTCTTCCAAAAAGTTATACCTGTGGTGCCTGCTGGAAAAACAAATATTAAACCCAGCATAAAACAAAAAGACAAGAAGAAATATTCATTTTCCATATGCAAATAGTTTGCATCTAAGGGAATATTAAAGCATGAGACTACTTCACCTTCAAGCAGAGGTGAAATGGGAACTTTTTAGGATTGTACCGCATGACTGCCCTAAACATATTGTCTTGGTGTGTACTACTAGTTGGGGAGCAAAGTTTCTCAAACCATTCATTTTTTATTGTATGCTTAAACATCCTGGTATTAGTTTCAAGACTTGTAACAATTTATTGATCAAATAAGCTAACAACTCTTCCTGCTTTATCGTTGAATGTTTATTAGCTAGTTCACTGTAGCAGAATTTAAGTGCCTAAAGTTCAATTAGTACATCTATTTTTGAGTCTCCTAAAGTAAACTTTCTTTTTTTTCCCCCTACAGCGGCTTTCCTCACACAGTCTGTCTGTCTAGATGACACAACAGTAAAGTTTGAAATCTGGGATACAGCTGGTCAGGAAAGATATCACAGTTTGGCCCCTATGTATTACCGAGGAGCTCAAGCTGCCATTGTGGTTTATGACATAACCAACCAGGTAGGCCTGAACTGTTCTGCTAACTTCTAGGGAGAAGAGACAGTCCCATTGTGAAAAGAAATGTTCACAGATCTCCTGCAGCCCTAGTGGAAATGTTCCGTTAGTTTGATTCATTAGTTCCATTCATTTTCTCCATCTTACAGGACATTGTGGGCAACAAGATCATCTAAAGACAGATGTGACAGAGCATTGTCACTTAGAAACTTTGGGAACTTATTTTCTATTACTAAAGTGCGAGAGTTCTCCCTGACCAAAGACTTGTCTGTTTCACATTAAACTTCTACTGCTAACAAACTTCTTTGCTTAGAACCTTTAATATTTGTTTTATTCCTGTCTGTTCGGGTCTGGATAATAATGCATAATATTGATGCACCTTTAAATACAATTCTTGGTTTAAAGTGGTCACATTCTTCTGAATGCCAAATAAATTTCTAGATAATTTTCAACTGATTATTTTGAAGAAGCTCATTGAAATTCACTTCCAAGTTGCTCAAGTTAAGATTGCATTGAGATGCAAGTGAAGTGGGATATTTCTCTGGAGCAGAGATAGGGAATCTTTTTCCATTGCTATGCTGACTGAGGATGATGGAAGTTGGAACCATCTGGAGGGTTGCAGCCTCCTTACTGCTGCTTTAAAGTATTTATGATTCATAGTGATAGGGTGGGTTCACTCTTTAAAACATTCACTTTGGTTGCATTAGATCATTTCTGTTCCTTTGAAACAGCATACTTTTTATTGCTTGATTCTTATTTCTTTCTCGTCACACTTTTACTGTTATGTTGGTCATCTATATTTCCGTTATCTGTAGAGAATATAAGAAAAACTATTCTAGATTAATCCAGAGGCTGGTCTGGTCTAGCATTCTGTGCCTATTAGCCATTAAGCTATAGAAAACCCATAAATAGGAAACAAGCACATCAGTATCCCCTGGCTTTTGTTCCCCATGAGCTATGTCTGGGAGACATACTACTTTTAGAAGTAGTACATCATAATCAATCCATCGTGTTGTGTTGCCCTTGATAATCCTGTCTTTGAGTCCTTGGCCCTCTTCTTTCAAATTGGCTTTGATTCACCTCCTTCAGCAATGGACTTGTTCCCCTAACCACCCAACATTTGTGTCCCAGGAAGCCACATAATGTATGAAATTTGGAAAAAAAAAATCTGTTCCCAGTTTGAATGTGTTATTTCCTATTTAATTGTGAAATACTTACTTTGAAAGTAGTTGTTGTACTCCAGAAGCTTTGTTTTTGTGGCTGCCACAAACTACGTCAAATTGGTTGAGACTCTATGAGATATTCATTGAAAAACTATAGCAAAATGTGCTGTACAATGTCCCTCAAAAACATTTTTTTTTTACGTTTTGATAAACTTTCCCCATATTTTTATGATAGAACCAGTTAGGAAATAATATTTATAACCCAGGAACAAAAAGATTATCTTGTGTTTTCTAGGATGAAGTAGGTTCTTGGCTGAAAAAGTTTCAGTCATGGGCTCTGCTGAGTGGTAATGCTTAGTTGCACCGATGTTTCACAGGTGAAGTATGTTCTGGAAAGATGGCACAGTTCTCCTTTTCCTAGGTAGATTGTGCTGGCACGTTATCAGGATATCACCCCATCTTTTGGTAGTGAATTTCATAGTTGTTCTTCATACAATATACTTGTTGTCATCTGATGTAATTTAAATAAACTGGAAAAATGAGGAGAGAATACAGGAAACCTAAACCTTTTCACTAATTTAGTTTCATGGTGAGATGAAGTAAGTATATCCACAGCTATCTGCAACATTTAGGTTCAGAGGCAGTGTGCACTTTCTGTCAGCAAGGACTTCACAACCTCATTGTGAGCTTCCCAGAGGAAAATAGAGCTAAACAAAGTAGACCTGAGGTCTAATCCAACAGGACAATTGTTTTTGCTTTTCCTCTTACACTCTGGATTTTTCTCTTATAGGAAACGTTTGCACGAGCAAAAACATGGGTGAAAGAACTTCAACGGCAAGCTAGCCCAAACATTGTTATAGCCTTAGCAGGAAATAAGGCTGATCTTGCCAACAAGCGCATGGTAGAATACGAAGTAAGTAGCATTGCTCAAATATCTTGATGCTTGGATTTGGGCTGCCTAATTCCTGATAGCTTTGTGACCCTCTGATCCAAAGTACTATGGGGGAAAAAGTTGGAAAATCATGTGTCCCTTCTATAATACTATAATACTTGTGCTTAGAGGAACACTGATGACAGGCATTTGTGAAATAGGTGTCTTGCAACCAGCCACCTCCTCCTCCCATTACAATCACTGTTGCTCTCCTGTTTGCACCAGTGTACAGAGATTTTTAAATGGTTGTAAAGCAAATTGTAAAGTTTTTCCTTAATAAGATATTTGTGTTTTTTCTTTATCAAGCAACAACCAAAATTGCCATTTTCTTAATAGTTCTGATTCTACAAAACACAAAGATAAAAAAACCAGTACTGATTATAGACATACACATGTACATTGGCCATGTACATCACTTGTACAGTGGCAATAACCTTCATCAACAGAGTTAACATAGATGATAAGAGAAATGGAATAGTGAAGTATGGGACAAAAAAACCCTCATAATCTTATTAAGAATTTACTTTTATGTTTTTATTTTTTTCCTGTTAAAGGAAATTGCCTTCCATTGGTTCTGTTTTAGCAGCTATGTTCAAGCCATGTTCAGTATGATAGTATTAATAGAACAGTTTCATATTCTATTTAAACAGAAAACTGTGGATGCAAAGTTTATTCTCCAGGGTACTTTGTTAAGGCTCTCAGAACTACAGTTTTGGGAACTTGCATTTGCTGTGACATCCCCTTATACCTATTATACGACCAGCCTAGAGTTGTCTTCTGTTTCTTGATAATTTACGTTAGCTTTGGTAGGTTGTGGCTATCAAGTGGAATGTGCTCTCCACTTCTCATTCCATAGGCCCACTCTCCTTCCTCCAGGATGTTTTCTTTTGTTTAGAATGTAAAAACTGAGCTGTCTCTTTGCTTGATTTATTCTAGGTAATCCAGAGTGAGCAATCTTGTCTCAAGTCTAACTTCTACATTTGTCTTTTATTCTCTTCCAGGAGGCCCAGGCTTATGCAGATGACAACAGTCTATTGTTTATGGAGACATCAGCTAAGACAGCGATGAATGTTAACGATCTCTTCCTGGCAATAGGTGACTCTAAAACATTAGCTATAAAGGCACTGCTTCTGGGGAAAAAAAGTGTTTGTTTATTTCATATTACAGTGATATTGAGTTCTGCAGGCTCTTGTTGTCTTTAACTCTTGCTCAACAATCAGGAGTTTGAGGTACTGTGAGAGTACATTCCACTCCTGGTACATATAAATGAGAATAATAATAATAATAATAATAATAATAATAATAATAATAATAATAAGTTGCTTTGAAATATTCAGTTTTATACGACAGCTGGATGCCTCCAGGCTTTTTTGACATACCCTTTCAGGCATTAATGGGCAATCTTCAAATACTTGTGTGCTGCTTTATTGACTGTCTACAACAGTGATTCTCAACCTGTGGGTCCCCAGGTGTTCTGGCCTACAACTCCCAGAAATCTCAGCCAGTTTACCAGCTGTTAGGATTTCTGGGAATTGAAGGCCAAAACGTCTGGGGACCCACAGGTTGATAACCACTGGTCTACAAGCTATCAAGGACTACTTGGAGAAGGAGTAAACTTCAGACCTTAAGTGCAGGTTGAAGAGCATGGCTGGATTGTACCTGGAAAATGCTATCTATCTCTCCTACCACTAGAGTAGAGGAATTTTAGCTCTTTTCCTATACTTCTTCATTTGAAGAAAGAGCTAAAATATTTGCAGACTTGTTTAACCAAATTTCCTTGATGTTCTAGCTTCCTATGACTCCCTAACATTCATCAAAATGGCATCATAGCTGTGTCCATAATACGAAGACCAAAACTTCTGTGCTTGCTATCCAAGGTGGAGCAGTGTCATATTAGACAACATTTTTAAGGATGATCCTACAGGAATTTATGTCATTAGAGGAAAGGAAGAAAACATCTATTATGTAACCCACAGAGAATCTGAATCCAACCTACCAGAAGTTTCCCATTGACCTCACCAGTTCTAATATTGGCTGTTTTAAATTGTTTATTAATTGTTTTTACTGCCCTAAAAGAACCCAGGAGTCCTTTTATGGGCAGAAAGATGTCATATGAATGATTTGATGAAATAAAATTTTAAGTTTCACAATATATAGATCAAAGCAACATGAAGGAAATAAAAGCAATGCTAAAATTAATAAAAGCAAGCAGGTGTAAAACAAGTCCTAGTTCAGTGGGTGAGTGGTTCCCAAATACCCTTTGAAGCAAATTCCAAACTTGCTGTTGGAAGGCTTATAGCAGGAGAGTTGCACCTACTATCACTGGATGATATTTTTTTGTCATGTCAAGAGTGACTTGAGAAACTGCAAGTCGCTTCTGGTGTGAGCGAATTGGCTGTCTGCAAGGACATTGCCCAGGGGACGCCCGGATGTTTTGATGTTTTCTCATCCTTGTGGGAGGCTTCTCTCATGTCTCCACATGAGGAGCTGGAGCTGATAGAGGGAGCTCATCCGTGCTCTCCCCGGATTCAAACCTGCAACCTGTCGGTCTTCAGTCCTGCCAACACAAGGGTTTAATCCACTGCGCCACCAGGGGCTCCATGATGAGTTGCCCCTTTTCTTTTCAGTGTTTAATATTCTCTTGTTCTATTAATTTTATTCCAGTTGATTACACCTGCTTTAGGACTGAATGAAGGCATTGCTGGTGTCCTTCACTAATCTGCGCCTTCTCCCTTTCTAGCTAAGAAACTGCCAAAGAGTGAGCCCCAGAGCACAGGCGGTGCCATGGGTCGGAATCGAGGTGTGGACCTCCATGAGCAGTCCCAGCAGAACAAGAGCCAGTGTTGTAGCAACTAAGCAGTGGCAGTAAAGCAGCCGGCGAGAGATAAGATATAACCTCCATTCCCACCCCACTCCACCACACCTCACCTCCAATAACAGCATCGGCACACTTGGAAGCCGCCCCCTTCCTTCCTTCTCCTGAGAGCTCCGTTTAACTGCACTTCTAATGCTTCAGAAACCACCACCAGACGTCTGTTACCACCACCACCCCAAGGAAAAGTGGAGATAGACCGACCGGGGACTTAACTTCCAAAAACAAACTCTTCTTCACTTTGTATTATAGGTGCAAATAGCTACCTACTTACTGGGATTCCCCTGCTCTGTTTTCTCCCAGATAATATTCCTTTCCTTCATTGCCTCTCCCAACAGTCTTGTCTTCACTCTGATAAAATCTGTGTTCTTGGTCCTGTAACATTCACCTTCTCTTCACCTCCACCTCTCTTTGTTTTGTCCAGTGGGGGAGGATCAGAAGTGAGGGGGAACTTAATTCTTGTAGATTTATTTTTAAGAGTAAGGTTAATTATTATTTTTTTCAAAAATGCAGAATTTTTGTGAGGTCCTCAGAGTTTTTTTTTAATCATTTGTTTCCAGTGTTCAGAAAAGCTGCAGTGTCCTTCATGATCTTTTTCCAGGGCAGTCTTTTGTGGCTGGTTTGGAGAGGTAAATGGTATCTGAACTTCCGCTGATGTCTTGCTTGCTGTGATATCGGTATGGCAGTAGGTCCCAGTGGCACAAATAGTAAAATCATGTCTGTGAAAACAGAAAATGAAGAACAGTTTTCCCAAACTCTTGGCACTCGTTGGCTATTTTAGATGTATTCTTGGTCAGGAGGGCTGTGAACGGAGGGATGCTCATTTGAGGTCAGTCTCACTGGCAGGAATGGCATTCTGAAGTAAAAGCCTGTTGTGTGTCACCTTCGGTTAACATTCAGATTGCATTAACGAGTTATCAGAGTCCTGTTAAGGCTATTCATTTCTTTGCTCAAGAAGTATGACCAGCAGTCTGAAACAAAAATGGACAAGAGAGACTAAGCTTTCTTCAGTTGCTTGGCCCTACAGTAGTGGAGCCTATCAGTTTCCTTTTTGATAGGTTGTATTTAGCTTGGCCCTCATACGGCAATAACACATTATATGTACAGCATTGCATGTTTTGTAGAATGTTGTTCTAAGTTGCCAAAAGGAAAAACACCCTTACAACTTCAGCAGAATATTTGAAAAGCCTTTTCCTAGTGATTCTTACAGACTTTAAAGGTTTTGGTCTACAGGACTGAGGGTGCAATGAAATGAGAAGCAGCATGCTAGGTAGGAGATGCTAAGAAGAGGACCAGTACTGTACTCTCAATACCCTTTCCTTGCCAGGGAGACCCAGCTTGCCTTGACTCTTTCCTACACCCTTGTAAAATCTCCCCCTTGCCCTATATAACATTATTCCAAGGTAGCAGGTGGTGTGCTGGAGCAACCCCACCTACCAGACCTTAAGGCCCAGCCTGTTCATCCTTAAGGGCTGTCTAATGCAAGAACTGTTTAAATTAAAAGATATCTAGCCCTTTTACATTCAGTTTACTCTGTAAATAGGATAGCACAAACGTGTATGTATAAAAAGGGGGGGGCATGGGAGGGGGGATTTTTACTCCCTTGCAATTAGCTAAACAGTCATAGCTTTTTAAACTTATTTGTAGATAGTGCTGATCTGTAAGATTAAGCATGCTACCATCTCACCCGCAACTTGCTCTTTGAATAGCTTCCAGTGGTCCAGTGTCTTTGGAAGGAATCAATCTTAATCTGAACAGTGGCCTTCGCAGAGTCGGTGATGAATTCATTTGACCACCACCCCCCCCAGCACACTTGACTTTTTAAAAGCTTCACACAAGAATTCAGTTTCTGAAGTGGAATGATTCACCAATGTTGTCCAGATCTTGCTCTAAGACAGTTTGCTATCAATACAAGCATCACTTCATATGAGCACCAATTTGGTGTATTCTGATCTCAAATCTGTAGATTTCTAATGTGAATCCTTCTGTAGCAGGACCTGAAATGGGCCATTCACACAAGCATAGCCTTTCCTATTTTTTTCCAAGCACAGTTTATAAGCACTCTCATTTTGCACATCCTTTGCACCTGTACTTTCTGTAGGCATGTGTTTACTTACCTGTTCCCATCCAAGGTAACTTAGATACTGATGCCACTCACGTAACGCCTGCACTGAGGACTTAAGTTTTGTTTTATTCACCCTTGTAGCCATGTATTGACTTTACTAATTCCTGCATTGCTGTTGGACATATTTTATTGCCTTTGAAAAAGGGTGTCTAGTGGCTATTAAGAAGAAGCCAGGCTTCCTTCTTGTCTCCTGAAAACCTAGCAGGAAGACTTCAAAGCAGAGTGCTTGCAAATGGCACATGCTGTATCATTCTGCCCCATGCACTTCGCATAAGGGTGCAGAACTGCCTCTTCTCTACTGCTGTGCATGTGACTTGAGAAGCTTTCAAGGATTCTGAAGTCTACATTATTTTAGGGAAGCCCCAGGACATTTCCATATGTGTTTCAAACTCTGAAACTCACATTTGTGTCAGGTTTGAGTCCTGTAGGTGGGAGAAACCGGGAATGGACTCTTGTACCTTCAGTTGTTCTCACGGAAGCTTTTCTCATTGATCTTCCTGTCTACTTCTTCTGTGCATATAATTGGTATTGTTTCCTCATATAGGAGAGCCTAGGAATGGGAATAAGGCTGCCTTCTCCCTTGCCAACAGAGCTATGATGATGTTTTAACTTCCATTCATGACACAGCAAACATAGATTTTGTATTTAAACTAACCTCCACATGGTTCGCATTTGGGTTTTTTGTGCTTCCTGAGCAAGTGAGGACACTGCAGCTTTTTCTTAAAACATAACAAACACATACTTTCTCTTCTGCTTTATTTTCCTTTTCTGATCAGGGTTTTTTTTGTGCTTTTGAAAAAGCTCTTTCATTGCATTTGAAATAACTATCATGGTAACAGAATTCAACTGCTGATTTACCGATGTATTTAATGTAAGTAAACAAAAATCAGTGTATTAGTGAACTTCTTGCTTTATTATGATCTGAAATGAGGGGAAAAGGAGTGTCACCAAAGCAAGAGCAAGCCCTGCTGCAAAAAGGAAATCAGGTGGTCACCCAAAGGAAGAGAGAAGGAAACAATCTGCTTTTGAAGGTATAACTTGATAAAAGTCAAATTGAAAGTTTATATATATATATATATATATATGTAATCAGTTGGCACAGATAATCAATTGGATTGGTTGAATTCCTTTCAAATACATTGCTGAGGATTATGATAGCCCAGTCTGCCTTTGACTACTTGGCAGTCCTATTTATTTCAATAGAATTTTCCTCCCAAATATGTATTCATAGGATTTTAGCTGTGGTCTGATAATATGACTATCTTATTTAAGATGAGCATAGAAAAATTCCACATACCAAAACAATGGAAATTTCCATTCTAGGAGAGCTCTCAAGGGAAAAAAGCACCTGAATTGTGAGAGTTAATGGAGTTCATTTAATTGTGAACTAGCACTTTCAGCGTAGTGTTCCTTTGAAGGATACAAGTGCATGGGTTTGAGATAAGATACTAACTGAAATGAAATGGGGAATTTAAAGAATGGGTGATAGTTGTTCTACTTTGCGGGAAGTATATGCCTTTGGTGGAATCATAAGAAAGAACACTGAATGGAAAAGTAGTTCCCATATTTTGGGAATTTAAGCTTCAGTGGAAGTAGGAAAATTGGGGAAGCATTCATTAATTACTTGCATATACTCGCAAGCCTTTAAGAAGCAACCAGTGAGCATCTAAATGCTGTTGTCCCTGATCCATCAATCATGCTGAAAAGGGCCTGATGGGAATTGAAGTGCAACAACAAATGACTGTCTTTCAGATATTCTGTAAATAATTCTCAGAAGCGACTGGCAGATTATAGTGTTGCCGTCTCTGTTGAAAGCATACTTTGTTCTATCTTGAGTTACTTTTTATACTTAAGTGGGCAGCTGTAGCCCTCCAGATGTACATCTTCCACCAGCCTTACTCAGACGGTGGCAAAACATGTGAGACACATTTGAAAACATGTAGAGGGCCACAGCTGCCTGTTCTTAACATAGCATCCTTGCCTTAGCATAAGAATGTATTTTTCCTCTTTTGAGTTTTTGGTGTATTATGAGCCTCACGGCATATAGCATATATGTGAACCTCAAACAGAAAGATGGCTTGCTAGTCTGTGTCGGTCTCCAAACCATATTCCTTTGATCCTTACACTTATAGGATGCTTCTTGCATGTGGCTAACCAAGAAATGCACACCAGAATCATAAAGATAAGCACTTATCCTCAAAGACAGATAGACAAACCTTTGATTTGCATAAAGCATGTTTCACTTGCTCTGGCTGTAGTTCTAAAAATGGCCAGCAGAGGGTACTCCTGAATAAGCACTGGAATGCCTTCTCCCTTCCTTCCCTTACTAAAGGATGAGAGGAAAATAGGCTGGTAGATGGAGCCCTTTGCCTACTGTAGACATCCTATAGAATTAGTATGATTTCTTTCTTATACTATGAAAGGTAGATCAGAGACCTAAACCCATTATAAGTAAGATTTTCTCTAGTAGCTATTAGTTTCAAAATATTATTCCATATTTATGTTCCCTTCCACAGTAGAAGCTTGTTTTTTTAATTACATTTGTTGTTCATTCGTTCAGTCGTCTCCGACTCTTCGTGACCTCATGGACCAGCCCACGCCAGAGCTCCCTGTCGGCCGTTACCACCCCCAGCTCCCTCAAGGTCAGTCCAGTCACTTCAAGGATGCCATCCATCCACCTTGCCCTTGGTCGGCCCCTCTTCCTTTTGCCTTCCACTTTCCCCAGCATAATTGTCTTCTCTAGGCTTTCCTGTCTCCTCATGATGTGGCCAAAGTACTTCAACTTTGTCTCTAGTATCTTTCCCTCCAGTGAGCAGTCGGGCTTTATTTCCTGGAGGATGGACTGGTTGGATCTTCTAGCAGTCCAAGGCACTCTCAGAACTTTCCTCCAACACCACAGCTCAAAAGCATCGATCTTCCTTCGCTCAGCCATTCTTTATGGTCCAGATCTTGCATCCATAGGTTACTACAAGGAATACTTACTTGCCTTGTTGTTAGCAATGCTTCTTAAGGCCCATTCAACCTCACACCTCAGGATGTCTGGTTCTAATTCATTCACCACACCGTCAAAACTATCCTCAATATTATTATCCTTCCTATACAGATCTTCTGTATAGTCTCGCCACCTTCTCTTGATCTCTTCAGCTTCTGTTAGGTCCCTGCCATCTTTGTTTCTTATCATACCAATTTTTGCCTGAAATTTACCTCCAATGTTTCTAATTTTGTGGAAGAGGTCTCTTGTCCTTCCTATTCTGTTGTCTTCTTCCACTTCCATGCATTGCTTATTTAAAAATAGTTCCTTATCTCTTCTGGCTAACCTCTTTTAATTACATACTTGAGGCCAATTTATGGTCTAAACCAGGCATATGCCAACTTGGGCCCTCCAAGTGTTTTGGACTTCAACTTCCATAGTTCCAGCTGCTACGATCAACAGGAAGCCCCATCAGTTCTAGACAGCCTAATTGATAGTGAAGTGCAGATGTGTTCCATCTGGAGGACTGAATTTTACCCACCTATGGACTAAACACATCTGTTTGACTCAATACAAGGTGTATTCAAAAGGTATCCAGCCTTCATTCATAAAAAAATATTTGTATTAAGATACAACAACCTTACACTAGTCCCCTTGGGTTACTACACATTTCTCCCAGTGGTTTTTGCCACTGTTGGAAGCAGCGCTCTTTTGAGATGGCACCTTCCTGGTCCATCATATTCTGCATGATGTCTTCTCTAGACTGACATCTGATTCTTTCAAGGGCATTTTCAGCTTAGGGAAAAGCCAGAAGTCACACATAGCCATGTTAGGAGAGTAGGGAGCCTGATGAAGCACAGCTGTGTTGTGTTTGGTCAGGGGAAATTATCAAATGTGAAGAATGGGTGGGCGCATTATCGTGATGGAGCTACCAATGGCCCACTAACCACAGGTTTGGCTGTTTGTGTCTGACAGCATTATGAAGGCGATGCAGAACCTCTTGGTAGTACTCCTTGGTGATGGTTGCGTGGTGCGTACTCATGATGAACAACACCACTGGAGTCAAAAGAAGATACTCAGCATGACTTTGATACTGCTGCAGACTTGCCTTGCTTTTTTTGGCCTCGGAGATGTTGAATGCTTCCATTGTGATGACTGCAACTTGGTTTCTGGGTCGCACCCATAAACCCAGGACTCATTGCCAATGATCACTGTGTTGAGGAAGTTGGGATCACTGTTTACAGTTTGCAGCATGTCCTGTGCGGTCTCAAAACAGAGTTGCTTCTGATCGTTCATTAGCAACTTTGGCATGAACTTCACTGAGCTTCTCCTAAACCCAAATCTTCATTCAAAGTGGAATGAACGGACCCAATGCTCACCTTGCCTGCAAGTTCTCTGATTGTGATTCGATGATCCTGTATCACCAAGGTCCTCAGCTGGTCAATGACAATCTCTTTTTGGATGTTGAGGGCCTATCAAAGCGTGCCTCACTCTCCACTGATGTGCGGCCATCTTTGAAGTGGTTGTACCCCTCCTTTATCTGTGTAATGTCCATTGCTCCATCCCCAAAAGCCTGTTGAATATTGCAGATTGTTTCCACTTGGGAGTCATCAAGCTTTATGTAAAAGTTATGCAGTAACATTGTTCAAGTTTTTCTATCATTTCCTCAAAAACAAAAATCAGACGGAACTTACTTACAGTTCCTCACTCTTGTTTGCCAGCAAGTGATAACTCCTGCAAGCAGGAAAAAATTCAAGCATGAGCATTAGGATCGCCTACATATGTGCACCAAACCATGCCTCCCTTGCTTCATTTGTGTATGCACAAAAATTACGGTTGGATACTTTTTGAACACACCTTGTATTTGGTTAAGCAGTAACCCTGTAGTCTATCACTTCCTGATTTTTGTATTTATGAATTTATGCTGTGGTAATAAGGTAGCAGCCTTAACCAGAGTATGCATAGGGAAAGCCAACGAAACAAAGCTTGTCGGAACCAGACTAAGGCTACTCAAAGCTAGTCATTCCTGGACTAGTTCAAATCTCTGAGTTGCTGTCCCTTGCAAATTGCCAAGAAAGAAGAAAGGAGTTGTAGTCAAGGGACACAAATACAGTGTTGCGTCTTGACACGATTGGGAAAAACAATTGCCAGTCTCCCATATCTGATAATCTGAGAAACTCTACTCTAGACCTTTACAAAGTGTGGTTTCCCAGTTATGAAGGACAAATAACTTAACAGAAAACTTGTGTTAAGTGACCTTTTTCGTGTAAAGATTTATTGTACCTTTAGTTTACTGAATCATTTACAATCCTGGAATGGGGAGCTTAAATGGAGTAACTTATGGGAGGAAGATTTGGTAGAAAGACAATCCTTCAGTGGACACCCTTCAAAAGCACCAATCACTCTAGAAAACAAGCTCAACTAAAAATTATGCCTAGCACCAACTGATTGCTTTTAAAGTTCCACAGAATTCAGTTCAGTACATAAAAACTGGTAAAACTGTAACATGAATCAACTTTGAGAAAAGAAAACCACTTCCTCTTAAGCTATGACACATCATCAAAACACACACAGAATCAATTCATTATTACTTCTCATCTCCTGATTCGACAGCAATAGCCAATTAATCCCATCCCATTTTTCCTAGCAGCACTGCCAGTTAAGAACCTCTATTAATTAGTCCACTGATTCCTTTCCTGATTTTTGTTGTTCTTCCCAGCCCTCTTAGGAAAATCCAAAATCTGGTGGCATCTTCTTCATGTGAGCCTCCTATGACAGCAGACATTGTAGACCAGTGGTTCTCAACCTGTGGGTCCCCAGATATTTTGGCCTTCAACTCCCAGAAATCCTAACAGCTGGTAAAATGGCTGGGTAGGACCGGGTTATGGCGGTAGAACCGGATTGTGGCGCAGCTGGTTGGGAG